AAACTAAAAGGTAATTAAAAACTCGTATTACAGAACACGAAGCCGCCATTTGATTGAAATATAGAGATTCTCCTTGGTATGAACACATTGAAAATAATAAAAGTAATATTGATAAAACTACAGTCGATCCCCCTATAAGATCATTGATTTTTCCGTTTTATCTGAATTACATGTTGTACGAGTCACTTAGATTTTACAAATATGTGAGCCGTTCACAGCCCGGCACACGTATTTGTAAAATCTAAGTGACTCGTACAACATGTAATTCAGATAAAACGGAAAAATCAATGATCTTATAGGGGGGTCGACTGTAAANTGCTATTAAGAGATCTGTTTGTTGCTTTTATGTAAATTAAATCCTTGTCAAATCTGTCATCTGTTAATGGTATGCCATAAATTCCAGGAGCTCTGGTCTGATCAATGGTATCTTCTCATTTCATATCATTTTGTATACTGTGCTGCCCCTTTTGTATGCCAGATCCATTCTTCTCTTATGTGTAATTTCTTTATGTATTGGTTTCAGCCTCTTGTTTTATTCTACTATTATGTTTCTAGACCCAACTGGAGGTATCTTTTTTGTCCCGGGGTAGTATCTTGTCATACATATATTTTTTTTTTTCCTAAGTTTTCTGTAAGTTTTATCAAGTACCAATATTCTCTTTGTTTATACCACTATTCTCTTTGTGTGCTTAAGCTCTATGAACATATCCTCAATATTGGTACAATGGGTAAACGTCTCCTAACCATCTAAAAGCAACTACTTTATATCTAAATGGATCATTTGAATGAGCCAGAGTTAATAAATTCAACAACAGCACTTGCATACAACAACAAGGTGTACTCATCAGTACACCTTATTGTTGTAAGTACTGTTTACATATTAATTTATAAGTAATCTAGAAAGCAAAATAATAGAATTCACCCAAAATATTGCATCATATAATAGATACATAGACAATATCTCCATATGACCTTATCCTAAAAATGGAACACTAACAACACATCCATCAATTTTCTGGATGTTAAAATCAAATTTAAAGAAGGGGCATACATATCAATGTATATTATAAACCAGAATACATTCCTTTATTCATTACAGCTCATTCAAATGATCCATTTAGATATAAAGTAGCTGCTTTTAGATTGTTAATTAGGATGACATTTACCCATTGCATTAATATTGAGGATTTGATCATAGAGCTTAATTTCAAGTTGAAAACTCTAGGGCCATATTTTGATTTGAAGCATTTAAAAAATGTGACATCACTTCCTGTTTAGCGAAATGCCAACTGATGTATGAAAATATTTGTTAATAATTGCGTGTTAGCTTTATATCCATTACTTATTATATATTATTTCTTATTACAAATATACTTTAATATCTTATAAAATTCTAAAATAAAACCATTTTAAACATACAAACTCTATAATATCTACACAATTTTTTAACATTAGTGAGGTTGCGGTCAAAGTTATCAACGCAAAAATGTGTATGTCAGACATTCAGTGCCACATTCCTGTAAATCTAGAAGTTTGACAATGGCATTTGGAATGTCAAGCATGATTCCACTGATGTTCCAAACTCTACTGTCAAACTTCTAGACTTACAGGAAGAAGGCGCTGAATGTCTGACATACACATTTTTGCGATGAAAATTTCGGCCGCAACCTCACTAATGTTAAAAAATTATGTAGATATTATAGAGTTTGTATGTTTAAAATGGTTTTATTTTAGAATTTTATAAGATATTAAAGTATATTTGTAATAAGAAATAATATATAATAAGTAATGGATATAAAGCTAACACGCAATTATTAACAAATATTTTCATACATCAGTTGGCATTTCGCTAAACAGGAAGTGATGTCACATTTTTTAAATGCTTCAAATCAAAATATGGCCCTAGAGTTTTCAACTTGAAATTAAGCTCTATGATCAAATCCTCAATATTAATGCAATGGGTAAATGTCATCCTAATTAACAATCTAAAAGCAGCTACTTTATATCTAAATGGATCATTTGAATGAGCTGTAATGAATAAAGGAATGTATTCTGGTTTATAATATACATTGATATGTATGCCCCTTCTTTAAATTTGATTTTAACATCCAGAAAATTGATGGATGTGTTGTTAGTGTTCCATTTTTAGGATAAGGTCATATGGAGATATTGTCTATGTATCTATTATATGATGCAATATTTTGGGTGAATTCTATTATTTTGCTTTCTAGATTACTTATAAATTAATATGTAAACAGTACTTACAACAATAAGGTGTACTGATGAGTACACCTTGTTGTTGTATGCAAGTGCTGTTGTTGAATTTATTAACTCTGGCTCATTCAAATGATCCATTTAGATATAAAGTAGTTGCTTTTAGATGGTTAGGAGACGTTTACCCATTGTACCAATATTGAGGATATGTTCATAGAGCTTAAGCACACAAAGAGAATAGTGGTATAAACAAAGAGAATATTGGTACTTGATAAAACTTACAGAAAACTTAGGAAAAAAAAAAATATATGTATGACAAGATACCATCCCAGGAGAAAAAGATACCCCAGTTGGGTCTAGAAACATAATAGTAGAATAAAACAAGAGGCTGAAACCAATACATAAAGAAATTACACATAAGAGAAGAATGGATCTGGCATACAAAAGGGGCAGCACAGTATACAAAATGATATGAAATGAGAAGATACCATTGATCAGACCAGAGCTCCTGGAATTTATGGCATACCATTAACAGATGACAGATTTGACAAGGATTTAATTTACATAAAAGCAACAAACAGATCTCTTAATAGCAGGCTTAAAGAACACAAATATGATATTGAGAAACAAACAACAATGCTATCCATATATACCTTGAAACCAGAAATTGAAGCTAAACTGGAGCAAGCAGCATTAAATAAAAATTGTTTTAGTAGAGAAGAAACTAAATTTTTAGAGATGTTAGAAATATTTAAAACAGCCTTGAAGGACTGCATTAATATATGGGATGTAGATTCATTATCCTGTGCTTGGAAAGCTTTTCATGATAGCCTGGAGAGGAAATTATTATAATGCAATTGAACAATGGGGGTGTTAATATATAATTTGGTAAAGTTTAAAGTTCGTAATTTCAAAATAGCTTAAATTTTGAATTGAGTTTGAATGTAGAATGCTACAGAATAAGCATTCTAAATAGAAAACATTTGTAACTGACCTGAAGTAGGGCAGTGAAGATGTCCAAAAATATTTGTCCTTATTAATGTTCTACTGGAATAAAACAAAGATTATCTATGTAATAAATATTTGTACATTTTTTCCAGTTTGATTTTCTCTCTTTTAAATTGAACTTTTTACGTTTTTAATTATTATAATATGGCAAAAAACTTAATTTTGAGGGTAGGTATGAGTTTTATAAAAAATTGTAAATGCTAATAATGAGTATCATCATTAAGTCAGGCCTTAATCAAGATATGACATGACCCCTTTTCCTCCCCACACTCTCAACTTTTAACCACCAAAATATAATAGCATCAATCACCCTAATACATGAACTTCCCTGCAAATTTTTAAAAATTTCAAGTGTTATTAAGCTTCAAAGAGAGTGAAAAAAATTGTGCCCCCACAGTAACATCCACATATACAGAAAAAAAATCCCCAAATTTTTTGCATTCCTTAATGTTTCAAGCTCCTGAGTCCAAAAATGTTAAAATCTTCAGGGGGGTTATTTTTTGACAGATTGTCATACTTTCTGTCTTTTATATTTAACAGCCAGAAATGTAATATTGTGTGTGTTCCTATCCCAACTACACCTAAAGCCAATTCCCTCTTGAAGCCAGTAATTTTTTGTATTTTGCAGTTCCATTACGGTAAATACTAAGGTCACTAAATGCACATTTTAGTTACTAAGACCACTGTTTTTATTGACCTCGCCCAACCTAACCTCACCAATATTCTCCCCCTCAAAAGCCTAAGTAATGTCAAACACAGGCAGCTAGTATTATTTGATATAGTGTACTATATTTTTTAATAACAACAACAACAACAAAAAACAACTTTAGTTTGTAAAAGTATAGTGAGTCACAAACCACAGAGTCGAATGTTAATTCTTATATTGAATGCATCATATTTTTTATATTGAAATCAATGATATTTTAAGTTTTTTTCCAATCCCTCCTCAATTGTGCTACTTTTTGACTTTTGATTTGTTCTGAACATTACTCACTCACTCCACACTCATTGCATGATTTTGAATATATTAAATGCAACATAACATCATAATGAAATAAACAAAATAAAAAGTTTCTTCTGTTGTCATTTAACCTAAAAATACAAAAAATCACCAGCCAACTAATGAAAATGGTACTGTAAAATAAAACAAATTAATGAAAATAAAATTGAAGTAAATTAAAAATCACAATTTATTACTAACTTGGAAAAATAAAATTAGTTTGAACTACAAGTAAATGTAGCTCAGATTAGCAAGGTCATGCCATAACTACATACAACTGATCATGAAGTGAAATATTTAAACAATTAATAATAAAGCCTTCTTAGTGTCCTTGAGTTAAAAAAAGTACAATAGCCTACATTTTAATTTATCATTATTTTTGTGAATTTTCTATTTCTCAAATTCTAAAAAACTTACTTTTAAAATGTTGGCATATTTTAAATCAAAAAATGAAAAAGTTAACTTTACAGTTATGAACTTCTAGGAAGAGTGATGAACCATAAAGATAAGATATTTCCTAACAAAAAATAAAACTGTTAATTTTTAAATTATTTGCACTATATATGCTCTACATATTCTTCATTCATAATACACAATGAATAAAAGCAAATGTTATTAAACTTTAAAATTTAACATGTTGCTCAAGTAACAAAGCATAAAGCGTAACATACCATTCAACAGATTTGATAATGTAAATAAAAGATAATCTGATATTAAATGCTTTTTCTAGAGAGAAAAATTTAAAAAAAATCACTGAAGCATTTTCAGTTTTACAAACCTATTTTCAGGAGTCAACAGCATTGCTGAAGATGAACATGTAATCCATAAGTACTTCAGTAATTAAGTTTTTGTTCCAGAAAAAGTATTTCGTGTTAAATTATACACATTTAAGAGGTTTTCTGACAACTTTGTTGGCTAAATAAAATAACAGCAATAATTACTTTGAAGACTTCTATGAAATAACTATATCTAGTATATAATTAAAGAATTTAATTTAAAAAATATACAGATATTATTTTTATTGTAAAATTTACTAACATGATGAGTTCATTCATTAGTAAAAAGATTTGGTAATAATTTATAAGAACTCCATTTAGAAAGAATTAAATATTACTTAAGAAGAAATGTTCAACTGAGGAATATTTTTGTAGTTATAAAGTAAAACAAATTTCTCATTAATAATTTTCATGTATAAAATAATTAAAACAATTGCAACTACAATTTAATGCAAATTATTTTAACAGTCATATATATTTCCCACTTACATTTCTATAACTTTCCTTTTATCCCCCTTAGTAAATTTAATAACAAGAATTTGGAAGTAAACATTTTTAAATGATAACATTCATTACAATAGTATTCATATTCATAACATATAATTGAATAAACAGAAACAAAAACTTTTCCATTTTCTTAACATAGGAAAGATCAGAAAAATTAAATGGTAACTGTTCAAGGATTATATCTTCTACAAAAAACAGAATCAATAGCCTAAAACACAATACTATATTTTAAAGATCCTAGCATTTTCTTTTTTTAATTTGTAAGCAATTACAAAGCATAGTTATTTCTAATTGTTTGTCAGTGCATCTGACATGCAACGATGCAGATAGCAGATCTGCATCAGTGCATTTATTGACATGTAATTAATGTTTTGATGATATCAAACTAATTTTTCTTCTTAATACTGAAGTATATATTGAATTATTATTATAGGAATTAAAAACAATTGAAAACTAGCATGATAAAATTTATTTTTGTATCTTTAATAAATTAATAGAGGGTACTTATGATATCTTTAATTATGTAATGAGCAGAATGAAATTCAGGTCAGATATTTATTACTTATTTAGCATATTTTCTGAAACTGATTCTACAAATACATTGTATTTACAACATACAACTTAATATTACTATAGTCTAGGGTTGTCATCCAACCTTATTTAGCAATAAAATGTTCTTTTTAACAGAAAAATGGATAGAAAAAGAAAAAAGTGGCTAGTATTGACAGCTAGTGTTTCTAGTATCACCTAGTGTATTTTATGTTACCCAAGCCACTTCTGCCAGCCTAACAGACCAAGTTTCTCGCAGAAATGACATCATCAGACAGAATTCTTCGTTAGACTAAAACTCTGACTCCTTTTAGCCAACTACACTTTCTGCAGTTACTCCAAACCAGTTTAACTACTAGTATATACTACCTAGTCTTTCTCAACTATATCATACTACCTAGTCTTTCTCAACTATATCATAGCCCGGAAGGTGTCATAAGGTGCTCCTTGAAAACTTTTCATTTGCAATGCATTAGAGAGGCCGACATCCCGGACTCCCCAGTTACGACCATTGCAACCGCCTTACTTTAAAAACCAAAAGGTAGCAAGATTTTGCACTTATTTAATAAAAAAATCCATTTTTATTAAAAACTGTTCATAAATAAAAAGAATAAAGAGATTAAATAAAAGAGTAATGATTTAGAAGCATAAAATATTATATGTATTAAATTTATATATTTTTGCATATCACTGTAAAAACAACGTTACAATTAATAATCAACAGAAAATATAAATTAAAATTTAAAACGTTTGCGTAAAAGATCCATAACGTTATTTCGAAATTTAAATTCAATAACATTTTCTCTCCCTTACTGAGATTCATAACAAATAATCTCCAGGATAGAAAACATTTAAGAAATGCTTCAAAGTTTAATATCAATCTACAATAATCATTGTGATCTGACTTCATCTTTTACCTTCATAACTCCAGCATCAATCACCAAAGCTGTCCAAACTCTTTCCCTCAAAACTTTGATTTAATCATAATAGACGATAGATGGCACCAGAGTCGATAGATATACTGGCCAATAACTGTAATGCTACTGTTGTATACTGGAATAATACATATTTCTGACACTTCGAGCGCTTCGATCGCGATTAGGCGTAAGTTTGGCTGGAGCAGAGGGAAAGTCAGCTGTAAACATTCGAAATTCTTTTAATATATGAAATGTTCTCGTTTTTAACTCAGATATTGCTTTTGTCTTTTTTAAAGGACTGCTTATAAATACTATTTTAATCCGATTTTGAACATTACTGTATTTATTCGTAAATGTTAATACAGTAGATCCCCCTATAAAACCGTTTCCTATAGTTATGATTCCTATAAAAATTGTGGCAGTATCCGTAAACAACGGTAAAAATAACTCCTATAATACGTAAAACGTCATCGGGCAGCCGAACTACTTTCCCGCCGTCCGTAGCGCCACGCTACGGACGTTTAGGCGGATAAATTGAGTTTAGTATCGTCTGTTCATATAATTATATATAAATTAGGTACTGTACATATAATTATATATTAATTATATATAAATTAGGTACTGTATATATAATTATATATTAACTTAATTTATTGTAACTTTATTATAATTAAATATATATTTTTCGCCGTCTAGCGTCACGCTACGGCGAGTTAGGCGACCTATCGTCTGTCCAGTACTGTAATTTTATACATTTCTTGTGAAAGAAACATTTCTTATTTAACGGCCATAAAAATTATTTATATTAAGGATGTCTCCAAAGGTCAACGAAGTTTTCGCAGAAAAATAATATCAGAAATCGCGGCCGCGGTTTGATGCGCTGTTCCGCGACGAAACCAAGCTTTAGCAACGGGCGTAGTCGAACGGTACACACTCGGTAAGCAATCCTACAATTTTTTGTTTATAACGTAGTTTATACGGATTATTTTCAAAAAAATATACGTATTTTGGAAATGTTGAGTCGAATTAGTCTAGAATCGATTAATTTTATGAAAGAAAACCTTTCAAACAGCCGTAGTCCGTAAACTATGATTCCTACAAAATTGATTCATAAAGAACGGAACGTATCTACCGTCTTATAGGGGGATCTACTGTATTTATACTGTATTTCTATTAACTGTCACTTTCACGATTTTAGACTTTGAATTGATTTGTTTTTTGCTTACAATTAGTGTTCATTTTAAAATATTTTTGGGAGTTTACATTAATTTAAGGGCAAGAAAATGTAGTAAAAAAATTTATAGTTAAGCCTGTATATACATTATTAATATGGGATGTCTTCGGGATTTCCAAGAACTCTCTGAATCAGGAAGAAAAGGGAATGATGAGAAGAATTATATATATTTAATTATGGAAATGTATAGGCATGTTAAACTATGTGTTAAGATAGGATAGATTTAAGGTGTTACAAAAAAAGAGATTTAGAATTTAGGGTGGCTTTTGGAGTTTATCAAGGTTAATCTTTTTTTTTTTTATTATTATTAATATTAGGTAAATTATTGTAGTTTGCAATGAGAAAATAATTTATATATGTTATTCACAATTTATATTGTGTTTATTAATGAGATAGAGAGAGAGAAAGATTAGAGAGGGAGGGATTAAATAAAAGTCAGCAGATTTAGTTCTTGGTTTTCAAATACAGGCTGTTAGAGGTTATGAGGAAATTCCAACTATTTAGACAACATAGTCAACATATTTACAGACACATAATAAGTTAGTGATGATTAGAGGATGATGAGTTAGAGGTTGACAAATAAAATAGGTAAATGTAGGGTGGCAAGAGTTCAGACAGTATTATTAGATATTGACAGTGATAGTGATTAGTGATGATATGGAGGCTAAAAGAAAGACATAAATAAAGGACAGGTGTAGTAGCCATCAATAAATCTTCATACATATTCTACTTTTGATAGTGCAGAATATTATTAAGGTGACCAATCGTCCTCCTTTAGGGAGGACAGTCCTCCTTTTGTAAGTTCTGTCCTCCCTCGAAAAGTGTCCTCCTACATGTCCTCCTTTTTGATATTTGAAGACTAATCTGTAAATCTCCGTATTCGATCAATGCCGAACCGATCCGTTACGTGTGATGTGATATGACGTGTTTATATTTAACATGATAATTCATCAAGGCTCTGTACAGTGCGACGAGATGCAATTATGAGACTCATGCTCTTCGCACGGGAGATCTTGAGAGAGAGAGAGAGAGCGCGCGCGCAAATGGCTTTGTTTACTTCTTATCGAAACACGATATGGCACCTATGCATGCAGTAGAGATTATTATAGTCTATTATTATTGCAATGAATAAAATGTTTTCTATTTACGATAATTTTTCCTCCAATTTATTAATATCCTCCTTTTCATTGTAAAAAAAGTTGGTCACCTTAATATTATATAAATTACCAAACTATGTAGAACCAATGTAAGTATCATGGCCGCGTTTCTTTATGCAGCGCTCGAGAAGCGCTTTACAGCGAACTCTCTGAAACCCGTTTCTAAATGCAGCGCTGCAATGTAGCGAACCGTTTCTAAACGTTTGCTGCAAGAGGTCGCTGCAGCGAAGATAAAGCAGCTTTTACGTCCGCTACACGTGTAAAGCAAAATGGACGCTTGTGTGTATAATACGATATTATGCTGTAAAAATAAAAAAGTCGAAGTGACTGTTGATAAAAATATTATGGAAAGATTAAGAAGGATTAAATTTTATGAAATGACTCTGAAAGTTATCTAAAGAATAAGAAAATACTATATTTTAAATATAATTATATATCTTTTATCTCTTTACTTTGTTCACATTTATGGAAAGATAAATGCTCGATTCTTTATATCTCTTTATTTAAATATTGTAGTTCTTTAACTAAAGCACTATTTTCGGCTGTAACTGGAATTAAAGGATAGATTATGACGTCCGTGTTTCGCTCGAGCGGAAAGCGTTTCTAAACTATGATGCAGCGACGTGTAGCGATAGCTGCTCGTGACGTCATTTACGCTGCACTCTCGCTGCATAAAGAAACGCAGCCCATAAGAAATTAATTTCTCATGTCAAAAGTACAAAACTTATTTCATATACCCAAATACTATACAGTACTCACTATAAATTTCTCACTATACTAAATCAAGTAAAATTGTATAGCACACTTTATGTAGTGTTAAAGTTAATAAATTATTTTTAAAATAGTTTGTTTTTATATGGATTAAATTTCTATGGCTATTTAAATGTATCAGAGGATGAGCTATGGTTTTCTTAATTGTAATGCAAATTTATTTTCTTATTTTACCATTGCCTATTTATCAAACAGATATATTATACAAGAACATTATGTACAAAACGTTTATTCACAATATGATGTAGCAATATAACAGTTTTAAACATTATAATAGAGAAAAAATATGATTTCTAAAAATAAAAGATTATCTTTAGATAAGATAAACGAGTAAAATAAAAACTCTTTCTTAAACCGATTTCGAGTAATTTGTATTAGCAGACAAATAATTAACAAAGATGATTTACTTCAGCCAACTCTACTTTACCAAAGATACTTTACTTCAGCTGAAGTAAAGTATCTTTGTTAATTATTTGTCTGCTAATACAAATTGGACGGGAGCAAACGGCGGTGTGGCTGTATCACGGTGCTGTTCTCTCTAAGCAGTTGGTTTTTTCTTCCTCACTGCTTCACGAAAACGTTTCGTCACTCCAGATTTCTTTATTTACTGTCTTCCCTTCTGGAAGAAATTCCTGGTGAATGACACCATCAGAATCGAACAAAACAACGAGTAAGACCAAACTTGTCCCGCCTTTTTGAGTCGCGGTAAATATTTTCCCATCCACTGTGATGACTGACGTTTTGTCTCCACGTCGTACCCGTAAAACCCACGTTCCATCCTCAATGATGATGTTTTTCATGAAATTTTTATCAGATCTAGCCCTTCATAGAACTCGTCACTCACAGAAAGAAAATCGCAAAACGCAACTGTACCTCCGATGAGTATTCCGAATGAGGATTCCGTAACGTAACTATAGGTGAGGTGGGTTACCTAGTTAGAAGCAGATTTATTCTGTAGGAATAAGTTCGAGAATGTTAAACAGGTATTGTATTTATAAAAATGCGTTTTTTATTAACTAATGAAATTAACATAGAATATACAATTTACTTTTATAAAACTTTCAAAATTTAACACAGGTGACTGACGTTTTAGATCCAGAGCAGTTTCACAAGAAAAGTTTTCTGTAAATAACAAATTTGGCATACATATCAACTTATTTTTTTCTGTATTCTGAAAGATATACAGAAACTGGAAAGACTTGAACTAGAGATAGCAGAGTCCCAAGAAGCAGTTTCCGAGATTGTAATTGAATGCAAAAATTAACTAGAGAAGTAGGGAAAAGAATGGAGAAAAAGTTAACAGAAATTCTTCAGAAGAATCCTGGACTTAAGAAGTTTCAGATATTGTCAAAATTCTTTCTGGTTGATTCCTTGATCATGAAATTGCTCTACAACCTATGAAATAGCTTGTCTGATTGTGTTTTCTAATATCACATGACGTGGAAAGATCTTTCTCTGCGTTTTGGGATATCCTTTCAGATAACAGACGTTATTTTATTTTATTTTATTTTTTTTGCCAAAAACTTGGAAAAGTATTTTTATAGCAGCCTATGCCTATAAAGCTGCGTCCAGACAGTTACCTTTTATGTTACGTTACGTTAAGGTCACGTTTCTCCATCCAGGACCATGGACAACTTGTATGATGGATGATATAGAGGACTTTTTGTCTCTTAGCGGACCTTTATTCAATTTTTTTTCCTTTTTTTTGAACAATTGAAATACGTAGAATGTTTGTTTATTAATACAGAGTAGTTTTAAAGATTTTGTTTTCTGTTACAGTCACGGTAGCCATATTTCTTTTTTGAGAAAGTAAAGGACAAATCAGAAATTGTTTCATAATGAAAAAAGTAGGTCGCTTTTATTTGTTTCACTAAAACTAAAAAGCTTTATAACATTTATTAAACTTATAAAATATAAGCGTGTACAATTGAACCTGTTTATCTCGAAATTTATTTCCCCCCCTACGTTTTCAGCCTAAA